AAGGAAGGAAGGAAGGAAGGAAGGAAGGAAGGAAAGAAAGAAAGAAAAAGAAGAAAGAAAGAAAAGAAAGAAAGAAAGAAAGAAAGAAAGAAAGAAAGAAAGAAAGAAAGAAAGAAAGAAAGGAAAGGAAACAAGGAAACAGAAAAGGAAGGAAGGAAGGAAGGAAGGAAGGAAGGAAGGAAGGAAGGAAGGAAGGAAGGAAGGAAGGAAGGAAGGAAAAACAGAAATTTCCAACCCTCCCTAAGTGGTTTACAGAGTCCGTCTCTTGCCCCCAGCAATCTGGGTCCTCATTTTACTCACCTCGGAATGAGGGAAGGCTGAGTCAGCCTTAAGCCTGATAAGGTTCGAACTCCTGCTAGGCAGCAGAATTAGCCTGCAATGCTTCATTCTAACTACTGGAAAGGAAGGGAGGGAGGGAAAGGAAAGGAAAGGGAAGAAAGGAACGAACGAACGAACGAAAGAAAGAAAGAAAAACAGAAATTGCTTCACAGAGATTTACAGCCCTCTCTAAGCAATTTACAGAGTCAGCATATTGTTAGCATATTACCTCCAACAATCTAGGTCCTCATTTTACCCACCTGGGAAGGATGGAAGGCTGAGTCAACCTTGAGCCAGTCAGGATCGAACTGCTGGCAGTGGGGCAGAATCAGCCTGCAATCCTGCCATCTAACCACCGCGCTACCGTGACCAATTCCTAAAACTATTCTTCCCGCCTGTTCTGATTCTTCTTCTGTTTATTTTTATTTATTTCCCTTCCAGGGAGCAGCCGTCATGTTGGAAAAGATGCCGTTTGCCGCGAGGTTAACCTTCAGCAGTGCCCTGGCTCTCTTTCGTCAAAGCGCGTTCATGAACCGGACAGTCGGCGAGATCGTTTGGGGGTACAAAGAACCCTTCATTAAATTCCTGAGCAACCTCGGGGTCACCATCGGTCCATCCAATGAAAAATTTGGCTTATTTTCCGATGTAAGTCAGGTCCTTGGGGTTGGGGACTGAGTCCAAACCTGAACTCTTGGGGGATCGAAATGAGCAGATATCTTTCAAGAACAGAGACTTCCTTCAAGAAAATGACAGATGTCGTATTTATTGAAAGAAAAGATCAGAAACTGCCTTCTCGTTATTATTTTTTAACCAGGTTGAAGAATATACAGGGGGCCCTTGATTTACAACAGTTCATTTAGTGACAGAAGTTACAGCCGGGTTGAAAAAAAAGTGACTTGTGGCCGTTTTTCACACTTGTGACCGTTGCAGGCTCCTCATGGTCACGTGATCAACATTCAGATGCTTGACACAACTGACTCGTATGTACGATGGTCGCAGTGTCCCATGGGTCATGTGATCCCCTTTTTTGTGACCTGCCAAGTCAACAGGGGAAGCCAGATTCACTTAACAACCGTGTGACTAATTTAACAAATGCAGGGATTAACAGTGGGCCGGTAAGGTCTTAAAATGGGGCAAAACCTTCACTGTCTCACTTAGCAACAGATATGTTGGGCTCCATTGTGGTTGTAAGTCAAGGATTTTTGAGTGGTGGATGTTCCCCTGATGCTAGGCATTTCTGGGCTCCATTGTGGTTGTAAGTCAAGGATTTTTGAGTGGTGGATGTTCCCCTGATGCTAGGCATTTTTCGTCATGGTTGTTGTGGTCCACCAGCAGCCTCCGGAGACGGCAGCAGAGTTGGACAGTGGGGAGGAACATGGGCCAGTCCTGGAGTCTGGAGAGGCCTCAGACGAGGGATCTGCATCTGACACAGAGATAGGGCCAGGGCCATCTGAGAGTTATGTGCTGACTCTGGAGCCTCCAGAATCTGACAGCAGCGAGGCAGAGGAACAAGGGGAGCCTGTTCCCAAAGTGTGCTTGCACAGAGCTGCCAGAAGGCAAGAACAGCTAAGACAAAAGGGGCGACTTGGAGGTGATTGGCCCTCCCATAAGACATAAAGGAGGAGCAAAGGGACAGGAACCTTTGCAGGAAGCAACTTTGTTCGTACTGGTCGGTTTGAAACCTGAAGCTCCATGTTGCATTTGTACTCCGTTTGGTCTTGTTCTATTTGACAATTTAGTTGTTGGCAGCCTTTCAAGGAAGATAAAGGTGCGTGCTTATCAGACTTATCCCGAAGGACTTAGGCAGACTTCCATGGGACTATTTACAAACTGTTTGAGACTCATTACGGGCTGTGAATGACTATAATTCACAGCTGTTGAAATAAAACAAAAGGTTTTTGGGACTAATATGTGTTTGTTAAAGTCTCAGGAAACCTTGTTCAGAACAATGGTCGCCTTCCAAATTAATACAGGAAGTGTTGCGTTGCTGCAACCTGTTTGACCAATCCTGCCCGATTTTCTATCTTAACTTTGAAATGTTGGCCAAATGCATTTCCCCAATTTTTATCCCAGCCAACCAGCATAACCAGTGGTTAGGAAGGATGGCAGTTACTTCCTGAATATAGACACACAAAACTAACCAAAGTTCAAAGAAGCCAAACGTTAATAGTCCACTCCTTAAAAACTTAACAATGGTGGGAAAATTATGTGGATGAGTTTACACTAAACTCTAATTTAAAAGAAAAGTTTTATAAGATGATGTATCACTGGTATTTAACACCAGGTGAGTTATCCAGAATGTAATAAAGGTATTTTAAATGAATGTTGGAAGTGTAAAAGCAAAGAAGGAACTTTTTACCAGTTAGGGTAGACATGTGATAAAGCAAGGACAAATCAGAAGATTCACATTATTATTCTAATACAGAAAATTCTTTAAAACGAAAATTAAAAATGAAACCAGAAACTTTTCTTTGGGGTTTAATGGAAAAAGACTTGGAGAAAAAAATTGGAACTGTGATCTTATATATGTTGACAGCAAAAAGACTATTTTATGCACAAAAACAGACATTTTTATTCCCACCATGGACGAACAGCTGCAGGAGCTAATGGTGTTGTCAGAAATGGCTAAATTGACCGTTTTGGTTAAAAAAAAGAATAGTTTTCATATGGAAACCGCTTCTGGAGTTTGTGCTTGAGATGGAAAAAAAATGAAATTTGATTATGGGTTTTATCAATTAGACTGATATGTGTTTATAGAAATAGCTAGTTTATATTACTATGGAAAAGCAAGAAGTTGTGGTTTGATGTTAAGGCCTTTTTTACTGCAAAAGAGGGAGTCAGAAATCAATGTTTCTTCTTTTCTTTTCCTCAGTTTCTCCTTACTTTTCTCTCCCCCTTCCCTTCCCCTCCCCAGACTGGGTCTTCCTATTTACTTTTGCATTTTGTAATTTATCTTATAACCTAATAAAAATGTTAAACCAAGAAACTTAACAATGGAACCGGCTTTAGTTCAAAGCTCCAGCAGGTTTTTCGGGCTTCCCTGAAATGTCTTTCATTAGATGAACAGAGTTGGAAGGGGACCTTATCAGTCATCTAGTCCAACCCCTTTTTCCGATTGGATCAGGGATTAAAAAAAAATATCCTCGGCCGAACGGCCACAATTGAGCCTAATGTTTTCGTTGTTAAGCGAAACATGGCTTACGTGAGTTTTGCTCCATTATACGAACGTTCTTGCCGCTGTTGTTAAGTGAATCCCTGTACAGTTGTTAAGCTTGTAACACGGTTGTTAAGTGAATCTAATTTTCCCATGGACTTGGCTTTGTCAGGAGATCGCAAAAGGGGATCAGGTGATCCCAGGATACAGAAACTGTCATCAACATGAGTTGCCAAGCATCTGAATTTTGATCATGTGACCATGTCAGCTTTGGAAAACATATTAGCACCAGAAGCTTCCATACTGAACACATTCTTGAGCCTGGGAAGATGGGAAGTGTTCTGACCAAGGCTTCTGAGACCGTAATTAAGCACATGCTTAGTCAAAATAACTCTTGTTTTATTTCAACGCTGGGAATTATGTGCATTCCCAGCCCATAATGAGTCCCAAACAGTGCCTTGAGATAAGCACCCACCCTTCTCTCTATAAAATGGCTGCCAACAACTAAAGTGCCAAATGAACTGTAAAAAACCAGCCAAAGTCCACACAGAGCTTCAAGGTTTAATCTGAACACAGCGAACAACTTTGCTTCCTGCAAAGGTTTTCCTACCTTTGCCTGTCCTTTATACATTATGGGAGGGGCAGTCACCTCCAAGCCTTACTCCCAAGTCGCCCCTTTTGTCTTAGCTGCTCTTGCCTTCCGGCAGCTCTGCGCACATGCGCACTGGGAATAGGTTCCCCATGTTTCTCTGCCTCATTGCTGCCAGATTCCAAAGGCCTTGGAGGCAGCACCCCACTCCCAGATGGTCCTGGCCCTATCCCTGCATCGGATGCAGGACCCTCGTCCGAGTCCTCTCCAGATTCCTGGACTAGTCCCCACTCTTCCCCAACTGTCCAATTCTGCTGCCGTCTGCACAGGCTGCCAGCGAACCACAACAGGAGTGGGGATTTCTTGATTGTATGTGGTTAGACATAATAGCATCCTTCTTCTAAGTTAAGGTCATGTTATTTCTGCACCTGGGTGAGAGGACATCTCAAGTTGAGAAGGATGGAGATTGGGGCATGTGATGCGATGATGGATGCAGGGGGTGGATTTGTAATATTTTACTTATTGAAGGAAACCCAGAACTTTCAGATTTTCCCAGATGTGCCAGTAGAACTACTTTAATAAAAGGAAAACTTTGAATAATGGAACGTGCGAAAATGAGTAGATTAACAATGGCAATCAAAGAACAGGAAGAAAAAGAGTATTATAAGATTTGGAATTTATTTTATGAATGGTTAGACAGAAGAGTAAGAAACTGAAATATGTGGTCATAGTAATAACATAACTGATTGATTTTGAATGAATAAGAGAATGAATATAACTTAGTAAGGATGGATTATATTTTTGAAAGATAACTATAATGTTAATGATAATATAATAATCAAACAGTATGATATAAAATGTTGATTAGAATGGTTATAAACATAATTAAATAAGAAATGTATGATAATATCATTATGCACACAAGGTATATGTACCCAATCGACACACTGTAAGAATCAGAAGATGGTTTTATTTGTTATTTTTGTTTTAAAAATGAAAAAAAAATATTTTTTTTTTAAAAAAGGAAAACTGTGAGGAAATGCCTGTCTCGGAGTTTTTAATTGGAGTTGGGTTTTTCTGGAACGCTAACATGGGATGTTGCAACGGTCATAAGTGTGAAAAATGGTCATAAGTTACGTTTCAAGGCTGCTGTAACTTGGAATGGTCACAGAACAAATTGTTGTAAGTCGAGAACTAAATCTGTATAGGCAATTTACCTCTCTGCCCTGGCTACTATGTTAAAATGGAAGCCTTTGCATTCCTGTATTCTTTTTTCCTAAAAAAAATTAGTCAACAGGGAGTCCAACTTATTGTGTAAAAGTGTGTAAATTGCCTAACCGGTTCTTCTTTTCCATTGCAGTTAAACAATTCCCACTCGGGCCTCTTCACGGTGTTCACAGGCGTGGACAATATTAACAAAACTCACATGGTGGATTCTTGGAATGGATTAAAAGAGGTAAAACAAAATAAATATTTTCAGTCCCTGGTTATTATTATTATTATTATTTAAATGAAGAAAAGCTGAAACGCCGTAATGAAAGAATTCTTGTCACTGCTGCATAATTAAATGGGAGCCCATTCTGTCAGAAATGGTGTAGGGCAGTGGCGGCTAACCTTTTGGGGCTCCTGTGCCGAAAATCGTGTGCGCGCTTGCATGCTTGCACTCACGTGCCAGCACCCAGAAGGTAATGTGCGCCCCCCCACGCCCTCCATGCATGCGCGCATAATCCCACCCTCCCACCCTTGCCACCCCCTTACCTGCACTGCGCCTCACAGCTGATTTTTAGCCGGTTTGAGGCCTTTTTCGGCCTCCCAAAGGCTTGAGGAAGGCTTCTGCAGGCTTCTGCAGGCTTTGCAGGCCGAAAACTAGCCCCGTTTTGTCACTTCCGGTATTTTCTGTGAGGCACATGCATGCCCGGTGAAGTACGTTTGCATGAAGCTCACATGCCAGCACAAATGGCTCTGGCATGCTACAGGTTCACCATCACAGGTGTAGGGTTTCCTGCTTGGGCAGGGGGTTTGGACTAGATAACCCACAAGGTCCCTTCCAACTCTGTTCATCTGTAAGATCACCCAGCTCATTTGGTGGCCATTCAAAGCTAACAGCGGCACCGAAAAAAAGTGACTTGTTATGACCGTTTTTCACACTTACGACCATTGCACCATCCCCATGGTCAAAATTCAACTGAACTCACAGTTATGACCGTTGCAGTGTCCCGGAGTCACGCGATCACCTTTTGCAACCTGTCTGGCCAGCCAAGTCAACAGGGAAGCCAACGCTGTTACTAAAAAAAACAAACTACGGTGATTGACTTAATCATGGTGTCAAGAAAGGTGGTAAAATGAGGCAAAGCTCACTTCACAAATGTCTCACTTAGTAACAGAAATATTGGCCTCAAGTGTGGTTGTAAATCAAGGACTCTACGTGCATGTGATGACCCAGGGTGGGATACAAAAGCAACAAAGTCCCCAAAACATGTGAAGTCCTTTTAATTCCTTCAACTTGGCTTCAAAGGTCCAATTATCATGGACCGGAGAAAAAAATTCTCCACAAACAGTTGTGAAAAGGAAGAACTTCTGTTCAAACTCAAAATACATATAAATTATAAATAGAAAAAACAACAACACAAACCGCACTGAAGCAATTAAGGAGACCAGGCAGGATAAGGGCTTGAAGACAGTCCACAGATATTGAAATGCACACACTGGGAAGGACACCAGAAGAACTCAAATAAGAACTGTAAAGACTAGAAGTATTTTTACGCTTTGCTTCCAGCACTGGCCCATGCGCAGTTTGTCCTTTTAAACAGTCCTCACAGCTGCAGCCCATGAAGGGGATCAAGGCCCTTCCTCCCCCCGTAGATCACACCATTCACGTTTCTCCCCTTATCCGCTCCTCCCTGCGTGCCCTAGGCTGAAGACAGGATGGGCCTAGGTCTTCCTCTGAATGCCCAGCTGTCCCCAGCCTCCTCCACAACCTCCGGAGCCACACTCCCATTTCCTGTCAGCTGTTCCTACTCTCCCTCTGAGTCAGATTCTAACAGGGGCATGACACTGCATAAGAAAACCAAGTCACGAGTTTTTATGCTGCTTCGTCTCAGCTAAGCTATGCCGTGAGATAAAGGAATCTTATTTCCATTTTTTTTTTTTTGCTTGTTTTGCTAACAGACACATCTGATGATTAAGGCGTTTTCCTCTAACCGTGCCAGGATTAATTAGTATCTGGAGCAGGAATTTTACAAAGAGCTGAATCACAGCGTGCCCTTTGCAAAAAACAGATTTGTTTTCTTAATGACTGAAACAACGCCTCCGCCATCAGATAGACAACAGAGATGTTAACTCCTGGCACCTCAGTGTTAGTGGACTACAGCTCCCATCATCCTGATTTTAAGCTTTTTTGGGGTGGGGTGGGGGCTGATGAACACGTAGATTATAGTCTGACTAATCCCAAAGCCTTGAAGCGGTCACTTTGATTAAGATGGACGGCTGTACAAATTTGATAAATAAATATTTTCACATCCAATTAAGCAGCAGACCGTGAATTGTCTTATGTAAAGGAATTGCAATCCTCGTTCATGTAAATTTGATTTTGAAGGCACATCAAAGAGTTCCTCAAGAGTTTTATTGTCATATTTTATTTTTTTCCAGCTTGATTGGGGTTTTGTGTTTGTTTTTGGTGCCACCTGTTCTATTCAAAGTCCTTGGGGGATTAATTTTCTTTCTCTTTCTTTTCTTTTCTTTTCTTTTCTTTTCTTTTCTTTTCTTTTCTTTTCTTTCTTTCTTTCTTTCTTTCTTTCTTTCTTTCTTTCTTTCTTTCCATAATCTAGCTTCTCATCTTGCATTAAGCTAATTCTTTCCATGCTATTTTTTCTCTGTAGCAGATTGGTGAGCTAATGTCACCAGGGAGAGAGAGAGAGGGAGAGAGAGAGAGAGGGAGAGAGAGAGAGAGAGAGGGAGAGAGAGATTGGCCTGGTGACATTAGCTCACCAGTCTGCTACAGAGAAAATATAGCATAGAAGGAATTACCTTAATGCAAGGTGAGAAGCTGGATGAAGACTGTTGTTTTTAGCTTCAGACTTGGCAACTTTCAGACTTGTGGCCTTCAGCTCCCAAATTCCCCAGCTGGCATGGAATTTTGAGAGTTAAAAGGCCACAAGTCTTAAAGTTGCCAAGTTTGGAGGTTCCCTGCTTTAGAGGAAGGCATGAGTTCTCACATCAACCTGGCCTCTGGATATTAAAGTTCCTTCTCTCTTAACAGGTATCTTATTGGCATTCTGAAGAATGTAACATGATCAATGGAACTGCTGGAGAAATTTGGCCACCGTTCATGACCCCATCTTCACCAGTGGAACTCTATGCTCCTGATGCCTGCAGGTGACTTGCAAATCCTTAGCGCTACAAGACCTTGTCCTACACTAGAATTCTGCCCAACCTTTCAAATACATCTTCAAGTGCAGTGAACATCTTCAAGTGCAAATGCATCTTCAAGTGAAATGGCCAAATGGCCAACTTTCATGTCATGCCATCACTCAAATACATTCTCTTGGGATTAGATGGCCGTGAAATATTGCTGGTGGTCCAATGTGGATCCTTCAACCTCTTCTTCCCCTCAATTTGAAGGTAGCATCTAACCACCCAAGTTGTCCATCTCCATTCTAAACTTTCAGATATGTTTCTTCCTTCATAGTCCATCTTCTTGGTCCATCTTCGTTCATGTTCATCTTCTCCATTCATGGTCCATCTTCTCCATTTGTGGTCCATCAGAATGCTGGTGTGATGACCCAGGGTATGGCACAAAGGCAACACAGTCAAATAAGCTATAAGAGTCCCTTTATTATCTGCAACTTTGCCCCCAATTTCCAGATTACTTTCTGGCTGGAGGAAAACTCTCATAGGAATAGCCTTTAAGTGGAGGAAATTCAGTCCAAAAACAAAGTACATGCACACTGTAATTAAAAATCCAAACACCAAGCTGAAGTAATTAACTTGACAAGTGCAGGAGAAGGAATTTCAGACTTGAAAGCATGGCAAAACTCACACAGTTGGGAAGACGCCAGGAACACAGATAAGCAAAGTCAACACAAGATAAATGTTCCCAGGAGATGCTGCACTCAGCCTGCATTTCTTATAAACTTTCTTCCCAGGTGTGACTAATGAAGGGAATCAGGGCCCTTTTCTCCCCCATAAGCCATACAACTTACGTTGCTCCCTTCTCCGTTCCTCCCTGTGTGCCCTAGAATGAAGAGGGGGTGGGCCTGGGTCTTCCTCTCCCTTGTTCTGCCTCTCCCCTGCTCCACCCAACCGGACTTTGCCTTTCCCCAGTTTCCTCCACAGCCAATGGAGCCACGCTCCCACACCCTGTCAGCTGCTCGGCCTCCCCCTCCAAGTCAGATTCCAACAGGGGCATGACAGCTGGTCTTCCAAAGAACTTCTGTCTCAATTAACCTCTCTTTTAATCTGTCTCTTTCAGGTCGCTTAAATTAAACTACACCCAATCTGGAAATTTCAAAGGCATACCAGTTTATCGTTACATGGCTCCGAAGACCCTGTTTGCCAACGGGACCATCTATCCACCCAACGAGGGCTTCTGCCCATGCCGGCAATCCGGAATCCAGAACATTAGCTCCTGTAAATTAAGTACGTCTACTGAACCTTTTGGTTGTAGGAAGGCTTTCCAAAGTTTCCCATTTTCCTGAAAGGGGCTGGGTTTCGAGGAGGATTTAACACAAGTAGACTAATAGCTGATGACGAATCTAAGAACTGAAGGGATGATATTATTAGAATCACATCAAAGAAAAGCTATACATTTGGTTCTCTCTTTCAGTAAAGGTGAGATTAGAAAAGTTTAATCGAAGTAACGCATCTAAAGGGAAGTCATTCCAGAGGATAAAGCACAGGTACAGATTAACAGAGTTGGAAGGGACCTTGTTAGTCATCTAATCCAACCCCCCCACCTTAGCAGGAGAAACCCTATACCATTTCTGACAAATGGCAGTCCAGTCTCTTCTTGAAAGCCTCCAGGGATGAAACTCCCACAACTTCTGAAGGCAACTTCTGTTCCATCGGTTGATTGTTCTCCCTGTCAGAAAATTCCTCCTTATTTCCAGGTTGAATCTCTCCTTGTTCAGTTTCCATCCATTATTCCTTGTCTGGCTTTTGGATGTCTTGGAAAATAGCTTGACTCCCTCCTCTCTGGGGCAGCCCCTCCAATTTGGAAGACTGCTCTCCTGTCTCCCCTGGTCCTTCTCTTCCCTAGACTAGCCATGTCTAGTCCCTGCAACCATTCAACATATGTTTTAGCCTCCAGATCTTTGACCATTTTAGATAGATTCAGATTAACAGAGTTGGAAGGGAACTTGTAGGTCATCTAGTCCAACCCCCCGCCCAAGCAGGAGACCCTACACCATTTCTGACAGATGGCAGTCCAGTCTCTTCTTGAAAGCTTCCAGGGATGAAGCTCCCACAACTTCCTAAGGCAACTTCTGTTCCATCGGCTGATTGTTCTCACTATCAGAAAATTCCTCCTTATTTCTGTAAAGGTACAATTCATGTAAGGTACAATTTACAGAAGTCCATTTAGTGACCCTTCAAAGTTACAACGGCAGTGTAACTTTTCAGTGCCTTTGTGACTTTGAACGGACACTAAACGAACCATCGTAAACCGGGGACTGCCTGTAATTTGTTCTTTTTCATATTCCCGACTCTCCGTTGATTTGACCATCACACGTTCACGTGGGTCTTTCTGCATCCAGGAGTGCCTTTTTCTACCCTCTGGCTGGATGGCCTTTGAGTGTCCCAAATCACATGCTGAAAAGTTCCACCTTTGCAATGATCATGTGCCCAGGAATTAGCAACCAAGGGAGTGAACTTCACGGAGCTTATAGGAAATAGAGATGGCATTTCTTTCTGCCTCTCGTTTGCATGAATGACACACAGTGACTTCTGTCACCTTCCTGTTTTTGTTGCTGAGCAAAAAGGAATTCTGTCCAAATTCTTGGCTGACCGGCCAAGCTTTAAGTAGATAAACTGGGTTTGCGCATTTACATCACTTGTATTTTTCTCTCCTCTTTTTTTTTTTTTTTTTTGTTCATCTCCCATCACGAGAGATCTTCTGAGATCCCCGAGGACCAGCCGCCCTCTGTTCGCATTTTCCATTTGCATAACCTGTGCAATTGTTTTTTTAACTTTGCAATTGGCATGATCTGTGTAATTGGTTTTTTGTTAATTGCAATTTGCATAATTCGTGCAATTTGTTTTTTAAATTTGCAATTGGCACAACTTCTGTACAATGTTTTAAAAAGAATTTTCCATTTGCATCACCTGTGCAATTGTTTTTTAAATTTGCAATTGGCACGACCTGTGCAATTGTTTTTTAATTTTCCATTTGCATATCCTGTGCAATTTAAAAAAAATATTTTTTTTTGCAATTTTGCGAAAGCTACAGCCTTGCCCTGGAAATCTTTCGGCTATGCTGTGCTCCTATAAAACTTCAGCCAATAAATAACACGGGTCCGGCTTGCTACACCACTGAGGTTTTGACTCAAACAAGTTACTGGTCCTCGTGACTGATGAAACTTCAAAGCAAGGGTCCAAAACAAAAAATTGGACCTCGTGTAAAGTGGCATAGCTGGCAGGATGAATCCTGCCCATGTTTCCAGGTGATCTTGACATACAACTGTAATGGAGTCTGCCGATTACGGTCACAAATCAAGTTGATCTTGTGAACGACTCAGTTTTATGACTTTTTTTAGCAGTGGCAACAAACATAGCCATCACAAAACAAACCCATTGTTCACTACGGCACGGTTTCTTAAAGCCAAATCGTCGCAAACCGAGGTCCCAGGATTGCAGGACGTTGCAAACGACAGTAAATGAAACTGTTTGCAGAGGGGTCATGTGGCTATAGGCCACTCCTCCCCCAAATTTTGGAACTTCAGATCCAGGTTGCAGCTCCCTTTTTGCAACTTCAAACGATTGCAATGTCAACTCATAAAACATTCCTATGCCTGTTTTAGTAGTTGCCATAAAAGAAAAAAAAGGGGTGGGTGGGAGAGGAAGGAAATCTGGAAGAGCAGTGCAGCAGTTTGAAAGTGAAATGTGATGACCCAAAGGGGCGTGGCACAAAAGCAACAAAGTCACAAAAATAGGTTAAAGTCCCTTTTATTCCTCCAACTTGGCCCCCAATGTCCAGTTATCATCGGCTGGAGAAAAAAACTCTCCCAAGAACAGTTTTCAAAGGGAAGAAATTCCATCCGAACTCAAAGTACATATAAATTATAAAGAAAAACCAACACAAACCATGCTGCAGCAATTAACGAGACAAGGCAGGATAAGGGATTGAAAATGTCAAAAGATAATGAAACACACACACTTGGGAGGACGCAAGAACTCAGATAAGACTTGACAAACCAGAATAATTTCACGCTTTGCTTCCAGCAACTTTGCCGTGCGCAGTCTGCCCTTTTAAACAGTCTTCCCAGCTGCAGCCAATGAAGGGGATCAGGGCCCTTTTCTTCCCCATAAACCACGCAACTCACGTTGCTCCCTTATCAGTTTCTCCATGCGTGCCCTAAGATGAAGAAGGGGTGGGCCTGGGTCTTCCTCTGAATGCCCAGCCGGACTGTGACCTTCCCCAATTTCCTCCACAACCACCTGAGCCACACTCCCACTCCCTGTCAGCTGTTCCTCCTCTCCCTCGGAATCAGATTCCAACAGGGGCATGACACGAAAGTATATTCCAACTCTTTATCTTTAAAAGATTGTAATCAAAACTCCACAGCTTTTGCCCACGAATACATTTAATTGGAGAACGTGAATGATGGCACTCAGCCCGTGAAGGTGCTCAATTGGAGAATCTGGTTTATGAGACACTCAGGGGGAAGGGGGGAAATAGGGTCACAGGGGACTGTAAATTACGTATGCCAGAATCGGCTTCACACCGGGCAGTGCCAGTATGTCTCCTCTAATAAATCCTTTGAAGTTTTTTGAAGTTTGTCTCGAGGATCATGATTTAATTAGGGCAACTGCTGGAATCCTGACACGCTAAGCCATTGATTGTAAGTCGAGAACTACCCATCGAAAAAAGAGCCTGTTGCATTCTGATTTTATTTATTTCCCCCCCCTCCCTTTGTTTTAAAGATGCGCCAATATTTATTTCTCAACCTCATTTCCTAAACGCTGATCCGGCTTTAATGGACACGGTAGTCGGTTTGCATCCGAACGAAAAGGACCACGATCTGTTTGTCGATATACATCCGGTGAGTTTGCCTTTCTAACTCCAATTTGGTGATTACGGCTGTTATCAAGGTGATGATTGCAGGTCTTAATGTTTTATCAATCCTTTTGCTCAAACAGGACAGGTGAGTACAAGTCCAGGCAAGTTCCCTGCCCATTTATTTCAACTGATTAGCCCTGTTTACGTTTTAAGGTTTGATTAATCTGAAAAGAATTATTATTATTATTATAATTATTTTAAAAAAGAGGGAGCAGATTTCCACACTGTGGGTGGAAGTTATTTTAATGTTGGCTTTGCCATTTTGGAAAACATCCCTCTTGAAATCATTGGTTTGGTTATTATTATGATAATTGTCACCATTGTTTTGTTTTTGCTTTTACATTTGCAAATGCTGCCTTATATTTCCTTTTTTAAAAATTCATCATTGTGCACCTCCCACAGTTGGCTTCAGTGAGCAAGGCGGCAGCCGGTATAATTTTTGATTAAATAGATAAATGAAATTAGCATTAGCATTTGTATTCTAAAGCAACATAGCTTGATAATATCTCCTGCATGCAAATGTAAACAACAAAACATTTATTTGCTCAGCTTGTCTTTAATTGTCTAAACTGAACGTGTAATTTAAAAGTTCCTTCACTACTGGATCATAAATTTTTTTTTTAAAGTAATGGCTAAAGGTCAGCTAAAGTTTTTAAATGAACTTTGGGGTACAATTTGAGAAACCCAGGGAAATCTTCGTTGGAAATAAGTACCGGTCTTTGCCATCATTCTTGATTTGCAGTTATTATTATTATTATTTTTAAGATGCAAGACTGAAGTGAACAAATGATTAAATGAATGAATTTTGTGGCTGGAAGGTGCGCACAAATCAAGTTTGTATCTATGAATAAATTGGCCAAGAGGGGCTCGTAGAAAATATGAAATCCTTGTTTAGAGAGGGTTGTGATTAAAATCTGTGTTTAGGGATTTGGCTCTGAGAAAGAGCGCTGTGTGTTATAGAATAGAGTAGAATGAATGAACTGGAAGGGGCCTTTGAGGTCTTCTAGTCCAGCCCCCTGCTCAAGCAGGAGAACCTATCCCATTGCAGATGTCTAGACTCTTCTTTAAAAACCTCCAGTGATGAAGCACCCACAATGTCTGAAGACAAGCTAATTCCACTGGTTAATTGTTCTCATTCTTAGGGAATTTCTCCTTAATTCCAGGTTGCTTCTCTCCTTGATTAATATATTTCTTGTCCTGCCTTCAACTGCTTTGGAAAATAATTTGACGCTCTCTTCTTTGTAGCAGCCCCTCAAATACTGTAATACTGCTATCAGTCACCCCTAATTCTTCTTTTCTCTAGACTAGCCAGACCCAAATCCTGCAGCTCTTCTTCACATGTTTTAATCTCCAGGCCTTTGATCATCTTAGTTGCTCTTCTCTGAACTTTTTTCCAAAGTCTCAACATCTTTTTTGTAGCAGGGTGACCAATATTGGTTGCAGTATTCCCAGGTGTGGCCTTACTATAGAGTTTGGTAGAACCATTCAAAGTAACAACGGCACAGGGATAAAAAAAAGCGACTTACAACCATTTTTCACACTTATGACCATTGCAGCAGGCCAACGCTCTCACGGTTTACATTCGGATGCAAAAGTCCATGGGGACAAACCACATTCACTTAACAACCGGGTTACTCATTTAAGAGCTGCTATGATTCGTTTAGCAAAGGTGGCGGGGAAAGTCGTCAAAGTGGGGGAAGGGCAAAGTAAACTTTGGGCTCAATTGTGGCCATAAGTTTCGAGGACTGCCTGTATTTCCCCCCAATATTTTCACACAGGCTTCGTGGGGTACACATTCGGACACCAACCAACAGCATTTGCTCCTCGCTTCATAATTATTATTAAATGTGAGTGCTGCAACCCATGCAAATGGGATTCCTTTGCAGACCTTCTGAGCTTTGCCCTAGATACCAGAATTATTTCTGAAATGCAAAAATATCGTTCATGTGTGCAAGGGTGTTTCCTGGCACTTGAGAATCGCTTCCTTGGAACTGGTGCCCGGCCTCTGCTTCCTTTGTGTGTCAGCCTTAGAAGCCATATTTTACTTGGAAGCTTTGAGGCGGCCACATTCAGTGCCTGGGAATTTGGGAGGGGGGATTTCATAGTGAGGTAGAAAATTGGACTCAACAACATTCCTTTCTCAGAGCGTCAAGGACATGTTGCCCTGCACCTGGAAGGGAGTGACTGGAGGGATGTCTCCAGTTGGGACAAAGATTTCATTGGGCCATGTGATGGATCTTTCATTTCTCTTTTGGGAAGGGAAAACCTGGAACTTAGATTTGGGTTTTCCCAGAGGTGCCAATATGACAACTCTCATAAAATGGGGGACGCGGTGGCTCAGCGGCTGACGCTGAGCTTGTCAATCAGAAAGGTTGGCCGTTCGAATCCTTAGCGCTGCGTAACAGAGTGAGCTCCTGTTACTGGTCCCAGCTTCTGCCAACCTAGCAGTTCGAAAGGATGTAAAAATGCAAGTAGAAAAATAGGGACCACGTTGGTGGGAAGGGAACAGCGCTCCATGCCTGCCAGTCCTGCCGGCCACATGACCACGGAGACTTTTCGGACAGCGCTGGCTCTTCGGCTTTGTAATGGAGATGAGCACTGCCCCCTAGAGCCGGAAATAACTAGCATGGATGTGCGAGGGGAACCTTTAGGTAAAGGTAAAGGTTCCCCTTGCACATATGGTCACTAAACGAACTGTTGTAAATTCGAGGACCACCTGTATACCAGCAAGCCAGACCGCAGAAGGAGCATGCAATTTCCTGGATAAAATGAACGGCGATTTGGTTTCCGCTGCAGACGTGCCCATTTTGTTGATGTGTGTACAACTCGGTACATGCAAATTATGGGGTGACTTTTGCCCGTTTTGTTCCCTGTGGTCTGATTACATTCCTTTTTTGGTAATTTTTGTTGGGGGTGTGTGTGTGAAGTAAGATTTTGTTGAATACAACGCCTGGCTTAGAAAGGTCTTGGACACCTAGCCAAAAAGGAAGAAAAAATAAATAAAAATAAATGGGATCTTTGTAACCCAAACAACTAAACCCATTTCTTCTTTCTCTGCAGCTGACAGGGATTCCCATGAACTGTTCGGTCAAAATACAACTGAATCTGTTCATAAAACACGTTTCTGGCATCTGGTAGGTTTGTGGGCCGAGCGAGGCGAGGGCGGTGAGGGGATTTCTTTGGCTCTTCTTGCAAGCCTCTTAATCCCTTGCCAGGGAGCTGGGCAGCCAAGACTGAGTTGGTGGAACAATGCCTCTCACAGAGGCCAAGACTCAGGCTTACACAAGGAGGCCAGCCACGCGATTTTCAAATGAGTGTTCTCTCTTTGATTTGTGCAGGCAAACCGGACAGATTAAGCCCGTGGTTTTGCCCGTGATTTGGTTTTCCGAGGTAAGTGTGGGTCTGTCTGCATGCTTACACATACAAACACACACACACACACATACAAACAGAGAGAGAGAGAGAGAGAAACAGAGAGAGAAAACACCTGAGAAGGATGTATATGGTTTGCATTAACTTTTAATCAGGTTAACCTTCCTCCTTCCTTCTCTCCCTCTTTTTCCTCCTTCCTTCCTTCCCTCCCTCCCTCTCTTTATCCAAATATTCATTACTTCATTACTGTGTGTGTGTGTGTGTGTGTGTGTAGGTCTAGGTGTGTTCAGGTCTTTTCCCGTGTAAGATTAAGAGTAAAAGACCTGAACACACCTAGACCTACATACCTGTACCCGTGAAAATCTACGAAAACATATATATGGATCTTTGGTTATTCGGGTTTTCTCCCGCGTAAGATTCAAAGTATCTAGGCAACGTTTCGGCGAGGTCCCACTCGCCATCTTCAGGCTGGTGCTTTCGGCTTAGTGCCAGTGCAAGCGGGAGAAAACCCGAATAACCAAAGATCCACATACAAATACCCGCG